CACTCGTTATTTTCCTAACACCACTCTATATGAATTCCCCATCTTCCGCTTGATTTTGCTTCGACATTCCAATCTTCACTTCGCTCTTTTATCCAAATGGACAACCAAAGACAGCAACCAAAACCGACGCACGAAAGTGCATGGTTAATGGTTGTAAAAACTAAAACTGAAGAGAATTAAGACCCTGAAGCATATGTGAGTGCGTAAGTTCAAAAGTCCATGGTTAGATTGTGGGCGTGGTACTACCCGGGTGCCCAGGCCGAGTGGATGGTGATAAGTAGGTTACTGCCGAGACATCCAAACCTTGGTTTAAATCTGTCTTCTAAACCTAACCCTTGCTCTTCCATCATCGTGGAGCGCATGTGTGGAGGACTCACGAATCGCGCATATACATACATATACATGTATCTAATTCGCTGAGTTCAGGCTACATGCCAAACGAGTCGCAGAAAAATGATCTTTGTAAAAAGAAAAACGGTCCTTGAGTTGCTCATGGACACGATACTACCAGGTCACTCAGGTCAAGTTAAGTGAATTTTTTTTGGAATTAATAACCGGAGCCTTAGAATAGCCACGGCCTGACCCGCAAGGCAACAAAGGCGCTGTGTGAAGTCCGCAATTCATTGCGACCTGGTGGCCAGTTCGTTGGAGCATGTGCCTTTTGAACGGAACACGCGTCCAAGGTGCCCAATACACTTCGATGATCACGGCTACAACCAGAAATATGTGAAAGGATTCTTTTACCTCTTCTTGATCTGTTTGGAATCCCCTAGGTGAACTATCAGTGGTTCACCTACTTCGTTATAGATCCGGAATTCGACTTTTCATTACCTCACTTTGGTGTGAAAGCACCTCCTCCACAGGAAGGCAGTGAGTAGGACTGCCTCTGCAAGGCCTGTTTGAGACGCTCGGTCGTTTAAGACCATTTCGTGAGGTGCAAGGGCAGAGGGACCAGCCAAAACGCCAGAACCCACTCTGATCATACTGAAGCTTCCCGAGGCACTCGGAACTAAATGTGTTATCACATTGGGCTGAGGAGCGATTCATTTGCGTAAATATCTTATGGTGATAAGAACATGAGGCTGTAATTGATCCCCATAATTAAACTTATGCTTTGCGAACTACGCTTGTTACTTGCATATCGGTCATGCTGATCATGCACAATGTTTGTCTGTCTATAGAATTAGTTCCGTCCGCTGTTTATTACAATATGCATAGATGAACTTAAACAGGTTTTATTTTTGATTTGCATGCCTTTATGGCCACTGAATGTTCCGAAGAATACAATGTTCGATGTTTATTCACAAACGGAGACACTCTATTTGGTTCTCTTATTCATTTTTGTGAAATATTTTTCGACAATCGATACCTACGTAGTCCGGCGCAAGTGGAATGCAGTGGGCGGTTAATAACTTGGACGTAAGTCGTCGGGTGTTTGAACGTGTATTGAACAAGAACTCGCTGTCGCATCGAATTCACCTCGGTAGGCTCCGTTAATTAGGACACGTTCTGCGTATGTCCCACGGTCGTCTACCGAAGCGCTCCTTATTTGCAGTACCATATTATTACATATATTTCACACTTGCCTGAGGACAGATAGTTTGTCAAGCAGATCATGGTACAGTAATCTTTATAAAAACGAAAAACGTTCGATGATTGGCTCGTGGGCGAATTACTGTTAAGTTGCCCAGGACAGTGCAGGTGAATTTTCCTGAAGAATCCACAATCGAAGCCTTCGGCTAGCCGAGGCCTGACCCGCAAGGCAGCGTGATGTGTAAAAATCGCAGTCCCTCGGGAGCCGGTGTCAAGTTCATTGTATCATACGCCCTTTGGACGGGGTCAAACGTCCAAGGTGCCCAATACACCTCGATACCCAATCCAGCCGGTTTTCACTACCACAACCGAAAAGGTATGGGTGTGGTTCGTACACCTCCTCTTGATTGGCTTGAAATCAGGGTTTTTGGCTAACTGCCAATGGCTCACCGATCCGGTTATAGCCCCGGATGTCGGCTTTTCGTCCTCTCACTTTGGCGGGAAAACACCTCCATCACTAGAAGGTAGTGAGTATGGCTTCTTCAGCGTAGGCTATTTGAGACGCTTGGTCGTATGGGAGCATTTCGTTAGATGCAAGGGACGGGTGACCAGCGCTAACCCTAGACACCCACCCCCGACCATACGGAGGCTTTCGGAGGATTATTTGCAGTGGCTGTTGCAGACTGGAGAAAGGCACGTGGAAGCCAGCAGATGACGTTGAGACGAGGCAGGAAGAAACGCACCGAGTGATTAGGTAGATTTTGTGTCTCTCGTCTTCCGGGTTGGGGTCCGAAAGACTCCGTAGCCGCATGTTTTTAGACGCTGAAGGTCGTGGCGGGGCACCGACAACAGTAGCGATCTGGTTATCAGACCAAACTGCTTGAACTAGTATGTATGCATAGTTCTCTGTGTACTGACCGTAGAGGTCCGTCTTCTTTTCCGTCTCTAAAACTAGGCCCAATCCCTGTCCTCATCGCACATTCTCGCTTGTGTGCATTATGAGTTATGGCAGCGATCCGTGAAGTGCGCTTCACTGTATTGCGGTGTACAATGGTGATGATGTGACATTTTTGTGACGGGACTTTTCTTTTGTTGCTGTATTTGTAGTATTTTTGATTTCATTTCAAAAATGGTCCAAATAAGAAGTTTCCTTGATGGTACGTACCGGATTTTCTTGTGAATACCTCTTCATTGTCTGATTTCCTGTTTTCAGCCGTACATCATGTGTTGTACCTGATCATCTCCACGTCGTTTTTGTGGTCCAGCTATCATGGGGCTGCTTAGTGGCTTTGTATTTTGTATCGGAGTAGTGATACATGTGAGAAGTCTGTTTTTAGCGTCACTGTGAGATGGGTGCGTTGCAATCTCTACTCGATACCCCCTTGGATGGATTTCCCACAAAGACCGCGCGGAATTCGGAACAAAGCTGTCATGCATGTGGAATGCAATTTGACCGTACACATGAAGATTCCGCCACGAATCATGATCTCTTGACCCACTCACACTATCTGGCAGAATTATGTGGTATTTGGCTTGGCAGCCCACATTCCAGTCAACGTGAATCTACAATGAGCAAGCAAAAAGGTAACTTAAATCACACCTCTATTCACATCCTCTACTGTTCCCACAGATCCATCGTCACCGTTTATCGCATTCCCGTCCACCACGCTACCTAAACGTTCCGTATCATCATCATCGTCTAAACCATCAATAATTGTTTCCACCCTAATTAAACACACGGATTTCACCAAGAATGAACGTTCTGCTCTCAAGCACGGATTCTTTTCCACAATGGATGTGAATACGGCTGAACTAGCGGACTGCTCTGGTTTGGAGGGCTGTCATATCCGTGGCTGTTTGTATGTTGAACATGGGAGTCTGGTCTTTCAGGCTTTGGATAGTTCGCATCAGTTGCCTTCGGTGTTGACCAGTCGAAAGGAAGAATCCTTTGACGTGTCGACCTCCCTCATGTCAGATAGTAAGTTACAATAAGATTTATATATATATATATATATATCAGTTTCAGTTTTTTACAACTATTAACCACGCACTTTTGTGCGCCGGTTTTGGTTGCTGTCTTTTGGCTGCCCATTTGGATAAAAGAGCAGAATGAAGGTTTGAATGTTGAGAGCAAATTCAAGCAGAAGATAGAGAATTTTTTATTGACCGATGTTGCAATAACAATAAATAGATGCATGAGCGCCACTGTTTGCGACACCCAGCCATATCGGTCAGTGTCTCTAACCGTCGGTGACCGTGATCTCGGAGTCCCTATCCGGGGAGCTTAACGGGACCTGTGCGACTCTCTGTCCTGGTTAGGGTTTTCATACTCACGTCTCTTTAACATAGAGCAGCACTGGTCGCACTGCTGCAGCACACACGACTCTTCACGGACAATCGGATGTCGCGGCGGTGCCAAAAATGTCTGAGGTTGACAAATGGCCACCGATCTTCGGTATGCGTGCTGACACTTCATCTGTGAAGCGTCCGCCAGGTGAGATAAAGCTGCCTAAATAGCAAAATTTGTCGACTTCCCCATTCAGGGTGAGGTTGGTGGCTGGACCAACTCAATCTTGTAGCAATCCCTTCCACTTTGAAGGTGCAAAACGTATACCGAACCTGGTTACACTAGCACTCGGACTATCCAAAAAAGCTTGCAACTTACCTGGATCTTCACTTAGCAGCACAAGTCACAAATCCATCCTGATGGATGGATTTTCAGCTCTTTACACACCACGGTAATTTATCATCGCATACAGTCACAGAGAGAAAGTAAAATTCAGTGTCGGAAATTCATGATGAAGGTGGCGTAAAATGTGAAAATGAATATCTTATACCTAGGATCTTTAAAAGTGGTCTCTGACTTATGCTTTCTTTACCAAAAATCTTGAAAGCTGCTGGATTATGGGTAAACGTTAAGCAGTCGTACGAGTATACACGAGTTTATAACTACAGTTACAGAAGTGGATACACATTGTTTAAGTTCTGTGTGTAATGGGTGAGCAATGTCTGATATAATATTGATACGGAAATTTCCGGTCAGGTCAGGTCAGGTGTTTGTCGGCGATAAAGTTAAGCAAGTGTAAATAAAGAATACCGCTTGTGCGAGAAATCACTTTAAAGGTCCGGCGTAGAATCATGTAGTCTTTAACTATAAGACCCGCAAATAAAACAGGGGAACAGTAAAGATAGGTGGCAACACAAGAATATGCAAAACGGGTGAGTGAATACACTGAAGCTTTCAAAGGTCGCAAGCGCGAAGTGAAGAACACAGTCATCGAATCTTTTGGAAGTGAATTCGAAATGTGAAATCCACGTGAGATATTGGCAGATAGTATGACCGAGGTATTTTAGAGAACATGCTGTCAACATAGAGTACGGAGTAATTTATTTCAAGAGAATGTAGCCGTTTTTCTTTGGCTAGTGAGAAGGTGACATTTCTACATTTAGAGTCATTAACAGATGATTTGGAGTACGAAGACCATAAGGTTAAGGCAGAGAAATTGGTTTGAGGCTGTGAGAAACAGAAATCACCTAGGAACCCATGGTGACATCATCAGCATACCTGATAGAAGCTCATCTGAGTCACTGGATTGGTCTCGAATATAGAAAGAGAAAAGGAACAATATTACTCCCTGAATTTGCTGGTAGCGATTCAGAAGTTTTTCCAAAAATCTTCGTGAGTTGTGTTCCAGCAGTGAAATAATCTTGGAGTAGAGACAGAATAGTAGCGGACGATCCCGCACCTTGGAGGATACACGAAATGCTGTAACGTGCCTGTCTAGGGATTGCAAAACTAACCAAAACATCAACCTGAGCCACAAACCACACCCATGTTCAAATCTGTTTATTGCAAAACTAAGTTTACCAAGTGCGCAAGGGCAGCTAAGGTAGAACGTAGTTTGCGATGAGCGAATTGTCTGTGATCTAACTACCCAGTGTTAAGAATAATGTTTCTTAACCTAATTAAAAAATCTTTAGTATGGTGGAAGTGCAGGCGATTAGCCGAAATTTCCCTGTTCCTTTTTGAGACTGGTGTAATGCGCACGGGTCTCCAACAGTCAGTAACTTTTTTCCTTGAAGCCTGGTTAAGAATACCGACAAGTAGCCCAGCCAGATAATACGCACATTCCCTGAGGACAACAGGACATAGTTCGTAGGGACCGGAAGTTGTTAATGTTTTGAGACACATCAGTTGTGGCAGCACCTGATCGGAATTAACATGCAAAACATCACGACAGTCAACTGATTGGAAATATGATTTCAATGTTTCCGTTTGAGTTGACGTAGCATACATGCAGTTGAGTTCATCTGCTGTAGGTTGAGGCTCGCGTAGTCTGACTTTTGCCCAACAGTGTTTTTCCATAGCACCCCAGATTTGCTCGCAATTCCGATCACCAAGTATAGTTTCAGCGTAGAGTCTTCCAAGATTTTGGATCTCAGTCTTGATCCACACTAACGTTTGTTTAGCTAAAACTCGGTCTCGATTTTTATATGCCCGTCCTTTGATTCTTCTGNTTCTGAGGGTCTTCAAAGTGGAGGAAGAAAATGTGGTGAGGTTGATGTGCATAGAGTCCATGAGGCAGCAGAGGTGCAAATGACCAGTGAAGTGGTCACACTCAACCGAGGTATTTGGATCTAAGAACTGATCTAAATTTATACGGGAAACCATTTTTCTCAGTGATTCCAAGTGGGCCGGTCGCACGACCTATGCAAAATCTTCCGGCTGGATGTACGTCTCAGTGTACCATGATGTTTCTTTGAATAGACTTTTGGTCAAACCCCTACGATCCATTGATCAGAGTTTGTCAGAGGGCTCCTCTTTGGGCAGAAGACAGATCAGGATTGTTCACGTTGGACGCTTCCTCTTGTGGAGAAATTTACATCTATGTAAAGAGGGAGACAAGTCAATAAATGAACATGGGCATGGTTAAAATCACCGTGAACGACAACAAACGAGTGTTCAGTGTAGTTAGGAAGTTTTGTTGTAAATAAATCAACAAACGTCTGTACATCATGAGTTGTACCGGAGGGCACAATGTCAATGCTTGATGCTACAATAAAACGATTCAGTTCAGTTTGAACAACCATTAACCATGCACTTTCGTGCGCCGGTTTTGGTTGCTGTCTTTTGGCTGCCCATGGGGATGAAGAATAGGAGAAGAAAGGAAAGTTGAAAGTGGATTCGAAAGGAAAATGGAGAATTCAGTGGATTAAGATGAAGTGGATTCGAAAAGAAAATGGAGAAGTTCAGTGGACTAAGGTTGCAAAGAAATTGAGAAGATGCACGATATTTACTAAGAAAACCGTGTTTGCGTTAAACCGAAATACATCAGATGTAACCTACGTTGCAAGTGAACATAATCTTTGATATAGGTTATTAAACCACTATCACGATTTTGTAGTAAACAGTTTCTATCCAACTGGTGCATATCCAAGCAATCCAGCTCAACCAGAGAGTCTTTGATGCAGGATGCAACCAAATTTATTGGTGCATACTTATCCCCAATGCATGATATTTTTCGTTTTCTTCGTACTTAACATCCACCGGACCTCTCGGTCGTCTCTCGAATTTTTTGTGATTTCACGCTTCAGAGAGTGGCGCTGTTCCCTATACCCACGGTCTGCCGGGATTGCCTGACGCGCGCCAAGAAGTGTGAGAGAGTTGGAGTAGATCCAGCAATTTACAACTCGACGGGTTATGCCACAACTGTGTAAACTGGCTGAGCGCATTGCATTTTGAATGGTTGCCCAGTGTGTATCTACAGTATCTACACCTCTTGGTGGGGTAGTAGTTAGCCTTGCAGTCAACTCGTTTTGCTAGTCGGCTAGCATAGCAGAATCAGAGAGCTTGGCGATGTCGAGCCGTTTGCATCTCATCCTTTTGCATAGGCAAATTGAGACAACCTAATGCGTGTTCGGAGTCTAAGCAGGTAGATCGATACGAAAGGCAGTCTTTCGCACATCCTCTCCATCTATAGCTAATAGCTATATGATCAATCTGAGTCCACAACTGTGCCGAAGAGGTGTTACGCCAAGTGGCGAGATGACGCTTTGGGTGTCTGAAGTTCGTGCTAACGAGGAACAGGCTGTGTTCTGAGCATTTGCTAAGAAGTCTATCCTCGTTATCTGAACGACAGGTGTCAAGACCATGATGGCCATCAGGGTGGGTCTCATCGGTTGACAGACGACCAACGCATGTGCTTTGTTCTCCGGCCAGGATCACGATATCCGTCTTAGGTGCTTTGAGAAGAAGCTCATGTAGGTTGTGATAGAAGGCATATTTGACTATCCGGATTACAGCCTGTGGAAGCGTACACAGAAACCAGAAATATAAACGAGTCGAACCCACGGAAGGCCCGACACCACGGTTCTATGGATTACTGAAGATGTACAAACCCCATGTACGATTACGACCCATTGTCGCGTCCGTAGCCGCACCGAACTACAATATCTCAGGGTTCCTGTTGTACACCGCCTTTTCTGTACTTCACTCGATCCTAAATCTTTCCGCACCCCTTATGGAAATTCCATTAATCTTCCTACCCTAAGGTGTGGTCACCTTTCCTACCCAAATGACTATCGTCCTATAACGCTCACATCTATAACCCTGAGTGTTTGAAACCATCAGTTCCAATCAGCTGCTTACTATTCGCGAGCACGAAGGTTTTTTGAGTAAACGTCAATATGACTTTCACTTTCATCGGATTACAGGTAACCTTCCGGCGCTCACATCGAATTCCTGGTCATATGTACTCGATAACCACAGAGAAACTCAGACTCATCATTTCAAGGGCCTTCGACTGGGTTTGGCTTGAACGCCTGTTTTCGAACAGCCAAACTCCAACTTATGAAAATTTTCATCCTCGCTCGGTAACTCACTTAAAATTACCTCTGTTTGTTCGTGTATTCTATTTCTTTGCAACCTTAGTCCTCTGAAATTCTCCATTTTCCGTTCGAATCTACTTTCATGTATTTCTTCTACTGTTTGT